GGGAAAGGATCCCTATTTAATAAATGGCCTGGGAAATTGCCTTAGCCCATAAGGCTAAAAGCTGAAACCTGGATCCTTTCCTACTCCTCTATATGCAAAATTAAGTCAAGATGGGATTAAGACTTAAATGTAGACTAAAAACCATAAAAAACCTAGGAAGAAAACTAAGGTTATACCAATTCAGGAAAATGCATGGTAAGACTCATGTCTAAAACACCAAAAGCAGCGAACAAAAGCCAAAATTCGAAATAAGATCTAATTAACTAAAGAGCTTTCTGCACAGGCAAAAGAACTACCATCAAAGTGAACAGGCCAACCTACTGAATGGGGAAGAAAGTCTTTGCAATCTACTCATCTGAAACAAAGGGGCTAATATCCAGGAAACCTATAAAGAACTCAAATCAAATTTACAAGAAAAAAAAACAACCCATCCAAAAGTGGCAAATGGATATGAACCAGAAATTTCTCAAAAGAAACCATTCATACAGCAAAACAGCACAGAAAAACGCTCATCACCACTCGCCATCCAGAAGAAATCAAATCAAAAGCACAATGAAGATACCATTTCACCACCAGTTAGAATGGCAATCATTAAAAAATCAGGAAACAACAGGTGCTGGAGAGATGTGGAGAAATAGGAAAAACGTTACACTTTGGGGGACTGTAAACCGTTCACCCATGTGGAAAAACAGTGGTGGTATTCCTTAAGGATTAAACTAGAAATATCATTTACCAGCCATCCCATTTACTGGGGATACCCAAAGGATAATAAGTCATGCTGCTATAAAGACACATGCACATGTATGTTTATTGCGGCACTATTCACAATAGCAAAGACTTGGAATCAACCCAAATGTCCACAGTGGCAGACTGGATTAAGAAAAAGTGGCACATAGACACCATGGAATACTATGCAGCCATAAAAAAGGATGACTTCATGTCCTTTGTAGGGACATGGTTGCAGCTGGAAACCATCATTCTCAGCAAACCATAGCAAGAACAGAAAACCAAATACCACATGTTCTCACTCATAGGTGGGAATTGAACAATGAGATCATTTGGACACAGGAAGGGGAGCATCACACACCGGGTCCTATTGTGGGGAGGTGGTAGAGGGGAGGGATAGCATTAGGAGATATACCTAATGTAAATGACGAGTTAATGGGTGCAGCACACCAACATGGCACATGTATACATATGTAACAAACCTGCACATTGTGCACATGTACCCTAGAACTTAAAGTATAATAATAAAAAAAATAAGATATAGGGTGGTGAAGATGTGAGTGAATGAGTTTGCTTTCAGATTGCTGGTGGGAGTGCAAGGGGATACAAATTTTCTAAAAGACAATTTGGATAAATTTCTCCAAAAATTTAAATTTTAGTCTTTTTATTAAACCAGACAGACATTTTATTTTTAGGTGGTTATATAAATAAAAATTTATATCTCTAGCTATAAGGATTATCATTGCAGTAATAAGAAGAATATTAAAACCTGTAAATAATCAAAAGGTTGTTACAATAAATTATGGCAAGTTCATATGATGGAGTATTTAATGTCTTGAAAAACATTAACTATAAATTTTTTAATGCTCCATTCATGGCATTTTTTTCATTATAAATTGTTGAATGAAAAAAGTGAGTTACTTAAGAAATATATATATATATATGTGTATGCATGAGTATATTTAGGTAGGCATATTTAAGTGTATATGTGTGTGTATAATTATATATATATATAGTTAGCTTGACACAGCCAAATATTAACAATTGCTGTTAATATTCAGTAAGAATATAAGTGATTCTAAATTTATTTCCTTCTGTAAATCTGCATTTTCTAAATTTTCTACCATGAATATGGATTACCTTGGGGTAAGAAAAAAATAAAATATATTTAAAAACAGATATGCTTTCTTTAAAGTAGCAGAACATTTTTTTTCAGATAGAATTGTATGTGAAATCCTAATTTCTGAAACCAATAAAAGGGTGAAGTATGGGTAGGTGGCCGAGAGCTCTGCTCACTAGGCAGGTGTCCTTGAAAGATCAGGGCCTGGGGAGTTCTGCTGAGAAATCATTGCATGTTAATACCATCTCTAGGAGCTACATTAAGTGTTTTTAGTGAACCCATACAAGGCCCCATGATTGCTCGTTACCCCTGTAGTTACTCATAAACTATTTAATAGCTCTTTCCATTTTAGTTTACTATATTCATTGTTGTCTATTCATTCAGAAATCATTTTTAAAAATTTTCTAGATTTTAGTTTTGTATCATATTAGTTTACCTGTGCATTAGAACTAAAATGATTTTATTACTACATGGAAATAATTCGAGAATTATAATTTGATGCCACACCCTCAGGTTTTCTTGAAAGTTTATATGAGAAATGACCATATGAAGAATGAACCTCCATCTTCCCTAAAATTATTGTTAAATACACTGTCTCTTCTGGTGTTCAAAGTCCCTTATATACAGATGCATGTGATAAATTCCCCTAAAATTTTAGTGTGAAAAATAAAGTTCGCCCACTTTAATAAGCATGACTTTTTAAAAAAATATAATGCTGTATTATTCCTATATAACTCATCATGTTTCCCTTTTGGCTTTGACTGCCAGAAAGCTCAGAGCTATATTTATTGCCAAACCACAGCAATGAACAGCTGCCTAATTTTGCAGAAAAACTCAGTCCCAGAGCAGTTGAGTGTTTACCCTCAACTAAATGGTCCTGTGATGTGCATGGCTTATGTTATGAGTTGTCACAAATCCAATTTGGAAATAGGCAAGGATTAAATAATAAACAACAAACAAACACGTAAGTAATTTGGACTAAGCAGTCTTGGTCTTTGGCAATGGAAAATGCTCACACCTAGAATTTGGTTTGTAGCAAATGTCTGTTAGGCACATTGCCTAAATCTAGTGGACTACTCTGGAGTGAGTCTGCCCCTGGGTGCAGCCATGGACACTTGGGTCTTTCTGTTACTGAGGTTCACACTCATATTCACCCATCCCATGATGCTGGCTCCTTAGAAGGTGGTCTGTGTGGTAGCTCAGTAAGGATATCAGGTTGAAAGGGTGTGAAAGAGCAAGGATCAAGCAAACTAGCAATTTATACAGTTTCCCATGGATCTTAGACTTTAATGTAGTTGATAGAACAAGATCTTGCTGAAATGGACAAGCAAATAGACAATTTTTACACAAATTGACAATTCTAAAGCAATGGGGGGGGTGTGTGTGTGTGTGTGTGTTTATTATAATATTCAACAGTAGATTAAAAAATATTAGGTGAGTTAAGATACTTCCTTACATTTCTAGGTCAAATATTGTTTCTTATTATTAATATTACTTAGATCATTTTATAAGTTAAACTTGAATAGAATACAGAATGTGGAAGAAAGGGAACTAATGTTTTTTGAATGACTGTGATGTAAATGATCTGCCTACATTATTTCACTGAAGGCACATGCTATTTTTTTTTCTGAAATGCATAGGCTTTTCAGCTACCTCCTTAATAAGGTAGCAATGCACTAAAATAACATGCTTTGTATTGAAATAATTTAGATACACTGGCCTGGTAGGGTGGAATCCAGTAATGTAGTCTTGATTATAGTGTCATAAGAACTGGTGGGTGGCTTTCTGTATTGGCAACAGACACCCTTGAAGCCAATGGGAATAGCTTGGACTGTGTGGCTCTGCAGTAAGTTGGGCCAGTTGATTAAAGCAATAGGTTATCATTACTAAAAAGATTTGCCATGGCATTCACAGGAGAGCCAAGACCAGCCAAGCAGCAACTGAACCAGGCAGTTGCCTGGGGCTCCAACTACTTCCCTCCTACCTACCGTTGGAGGTCTGCTTGATATTCCACAGACGGAGTTTCATTTGAGGCAGAAATGCGTGGTCCCCCAGAACCCAGGATCTAAAATTGAATTTCCTAGTTTTAAATCCCAGCTCCATCACTTAAGGTTGGCTGAGTAAACTGGGAATAGTCTTTTACTTTTGAATCTTTCTATAGATTAATGAAATCACCCACGAAAGACAGCTAGCCAGCATCTGGCTCACGGTACACCCTCAATATATGTCAACTTTTGTTATTATTTAGACTTAAAGTATCACCTATTAAAATGCAAACACCCAGGGAGGTACACCTTGCTACCAGTTAGGAAAGATTCTCACCACTCAAATGCCAGTTGAGATGTAATGAGCAGAAAGGGATCCACGATTGAAACCTGGGAGAAGCAGGGAATGTGGCTCCAGGAGAGAAACAGCATTAACATTTTGCTGGAAGCCACGGAGATTCTTCTGCATGGAAAAGCACCCAGTCGTTGCAGTTACCCAAGCACAAATCCTCACGGTTGCAGACAGGCAATCTAATTGCTTAATCCAGATCCTGGGATCTGCAGCCCTTGGGTCTAATGAACTGCCCCCTCTCTATCAACTGTTCCACACCGGAGGACTCTCTCTGTAGACTTTCTGTGCTAAGAGACATTAAACTGTACAGCCACCACATTCGCTATTTGTTTTCGTACGTGCCGTGGAACATATGTGCAGATCTCAAACACCGATGTGTATGGAGATGTGCATACTCTGGAGAGCCAGTTTACATTGAAACCTGCTGTTAAGAGCCACCGAAAACCACCACTCTTCTCTACAAAACAGTTGTGGGTATCCTTTCACACTCTGAATGAAGACTTCCATTTGAAAAGTCATCCATCACACTATAAATCAGTCTCTTCAACACGCCTCCTGTCCAGCCAGGAGAAAAGAGGAAAGCATTTCGGAGAATAGAATACAGAATGGGGAAGAAAGCTACTCGGTACAAAATGGATGAATTACTATTATTTTTTCTCTCCAGGGTACCCAAGAGAGGCTGATTCTCACCCAAACCATCCACATACACCTTTTAAGAGAGACTTCATTTCACCTCCTGCCAGGTCAGGGAGGGGCACACACCGGAGCCACACACATATTCACACACCCAGTTGGCTGTGCAGCATGAAGCACTGACCTGTTAGGCCGGCAGCCTCGGCAGACAGGAAGGCACTCCAAGAAAGCAGGAAAAACAGGCCGGTTTCCAGCATTGGGAACTCGCACAGCTTGGTAAATTTGGTCAAGTGAGGAAGACAAGTTAAGGGAAACAACAGCAGCTTTTACAGCTACATCTCCTTCTTGACTGAGAATCAAAACTGATCTGGTGATGATAGTTCCAGAGCAAAGTAAAAGAACTGATGTTCAGACCTGACTGGAAGGCTGTAATTCTTACTGGGACCTGCTTTGAAGGCCAGCATGAGTTCCATGCTTCACCGGGGGCTGAACTTGTCTGTAAAAATTCAAACCTGTGTTCAGATTAAAAAGGTGTCTTCCTAAGACTATCAATTCAGCCCACTGTGGGCTTAGCCTCGTTCCTTGGGATGCACCCCCTCAGGAGAGGTGTAGCAGGCATGCAAAAACAAAGCCAAGGAGAGTGTGGGGGGAAGAGATGCTGCAAGTATGTCAGGACCAAGGAGTGCTGCTCCCTGGGGAGTGCAGTCTGCGGGCAGACCGCTTAGTAGAATCTTCTCGCCTGGGGATGGAAGTAGGATCAGAAGAAGAAGTTACATTCAGTGACAGGGAAGCTGCCCATGCTCTCTTGGTATAAGTACGATAAAGAGAAGGTACATTATTTCTAGGTCAGACAAGATGCCTTTGGCAGGCAATGGTTCATTTTGACAAGGATGACACTTGGTCAATGGTCTATAAATTGCAAATAGAACAAAGGGATAGTAGGATCTAAGTTGGGCAGAGAAGGGGTCATGGGGAGATGATTAGGAGTATGTGATCGATGGGAAAGGGTTACATTGCAATTGTGTCAATATTAGGCACAAAATGCCCTGACAAATAAGGAGATGTGATCGTGTTGCATTTTTATACTGTTAGAACAAAATCTAAAGAAAATTTCACATTAAGAGATGTTTAGCAGGGGAGCAGGGAAGTAAAAGTGTGACCTCTGGAACAGAACATTTTATTCTGATTCTTGACTCTGCCAGTGACTGGCTGTGTGATTTCTCAGCAGTATATTAACCTCTCTGAGCCTCATTTCTATTCTACGTAAACTGACAATGAGAATAATACCTGATCCTACATGAGGTAAGTAAAATGTGATGAAGTATGTTAAACAGGTTTTGTAAAGTTTTAGAAAGCACAAAGGCAAAATAATATCATGGATGGGAGTGTAGCGTTTGGAAGCCAACTCTACCTGGATTAAAATTCACAGTATTCCCTTGGACACATCTCTTGATCACTGTGTGCCTCAGTTTTCCTGTCTGAAAACAGAAATAATAATGCAACCTACCTCAGAGGTCTATAAACTAGTTAACATATGTTAAGTACTCAGAACAGTGCCTGGCATGCAACAAGTGATATGAACTTGTCTACTGTGGTCTAATTTTTTTTTTTTTTGGTAAAACATCTTTTTGGGAAATAGCATCAGTAAGGACCTGGAAGCAATTCTTTATCTGCTGTAAAGATCAGGCTGCCCTGAGATCCTTTTACAATATTCCCTTTTGTTACTTAGAGGGAAGTCTTTGTTTCTAGTGAGGTTTGTTCTTCTGAATTCACTCTTCTAGTTTGTTTTAAAGAGAATGTTCAGGGCAGGTGAGTAACAAAATAGCAATCGGCTATCTAACATTCTTTTCTTTCTATCTCCTCCAGAAAGTAGATCAGGTCTGGGTCAGTCCCTAGTTGCAGAGCTCAGGGGCCTACAACCTGAGGAGACTGCCTCAGAATGAAATAGGTATGCGGTTAGGAAGGTGAGGAGGACAACAGTAAGCATCTACCTCCTACACAACCTATGTTTGTAGAGCCTGTTAAAGACCACCAAATACTGCACGACTGATATCACCACTGTTACTGAGCCCCCGTTTCTTCTGTTTCTACACCCTTTCTTTCAGATCTGATCCAATCTTATGCCAGACTTCCAATCTCCAGGAATTTTTCTTCTTCCCTTATCAACCTGTTCACACGTGTTGCACCTTCTCCTCACGTCAGGCAGAGAAGAATTCCGATTTTAGTTTCTCCACTTAGTGTAGCCTCCAGAGCCCAAAAGTCTGGGTTTGAATCCTGGCCCTGAAATGTCCTACTTGTTTGGCCTTAGCCAAGTTGTTTAACTTTGTCTGTTTCCTTAGCTGTAAAATTGGGATAGTAACAGTATCTACCTTCCAGGGTTCTTGTAAAACTTATCTGATAATCCATGCAAAACACTTAGGGCAATGGCTAGCATATAGTAACGTTTTCAATAAACGTGCTCACTATTACTTACATGTGATCCAGAGTGAGCTACGTATCCTCCTTGAGCCTCAGTTTCCTCAGGTGTAAGGTGAGGAGGATAATAACTTGTTTTACAGGGTTGATTCAAATGAGGAGATGCATAGAAAGGCTCTGGCACATGTTAGACACTCACAGAATGTTCCTACCCTTGTTGCTATTACTGTACTCTAAACAACGCCTGGCCTCCACACAGTTCCAACTAAGAATGAAGAGGCAATAGGGAGCAGTGACCAGAGCATGGTCGTCCTCTTGATTCTCACTCTCTGGGTTTACTGGCTGGCTGCGTGACCTTGGGCAACAGCTTACCCTTTCTAAGCTTCACAACCAATAAAAATAGCATCTGGTGATAGGATCATTGTGAAGGTTAGATGAGACACCACATGGAAAACACATCGTAGGTGGCCTGTCACAGCATAAGTACTGGGTAGGTCATTTTTTCTTGTTGGAAACCAGCACTATCTCTTCTGACTGACTTTATTTCTGTCAATGGAGATGCCATTTTACAAGGTTCTCAGGATGAAACTTTGGAGTAGCCTTTGACTGTCTCCTTTCATTTGTCTCCAATAACCAACGAATCACTAAGTCTTAGAAATTTTTCCTTCTAAACATCAGTCCCCTTCCTGATGCTTCCCCCGCAGTTCGTCATCACAGTTTCCCTTGATTCTCATCTCCTTCCTCTGATTCATCCTTTGTGCCAGTTCCTCATCTACATTTTAAAAACAGGACTGTCAGTGTGTCACTCTCCTGAGCAGAAACCTTTGGCAGCTAATTGTGGACTAGAGAAAGAGGCTCAGACTCTTTGAAATACCAGTTCAAGATACTCCACAAGCTGACTCCATCCCACCCAAGTACCCTCATCCTCCATTTCTCACCAGCTGGAGCCCTGTGGTCGTCCCAGGCATGCCTTCCAGATGCCACATTTGTCCCACTGCTATACCTTAGTGAATAGACTTAGTGAGCCTTTGCCTCCTGTGTCACCGACTGCTCAGCCTTTGCCCCTATTCTATCTTCCAGGCCGTGCCCAGAACCTATTCTGCTTATAAATACTGCTTTTCAAATTATTTTCCAGAATCATAAGGCTGGCCAAGGGTATTATACTATTCCAGACACAATGGCCTCGTCCCAGTTTGAGTGTTTACAGTGTGATAACTTCAATGTGGCTCTGGCACTCACTTTCTATCCCAGTCTTAATGTGGAGCTCATCCTTCCAAGCCTGTTACTCACTGAGGCCAGGGTCCTTGTTTTACGCATTTCCTGACTCTTCTTAGATACCCCCAGTAGAACCAAGTTTTTTAGCAGCGAATGTCTGGGCGAGATCCCATAGAAAAAGGCCCCCAATATTTTGCCTTCTCTTTGCCTGGGGCCTTCACCCCTCTGGCACACTTCTTCCTTCTCCTTCCCCTGAGATCTTTGGTCCTTGATCTTCTGTTCTACCTCTCTTCTGTGGCTCCACCTAACCCTTATAGTTGACATTGGCCTTCTGCCCTTCCTCCTCTACCCCGACTTACTTTTGCCCTGTCTGAGTGTTCTAAGTGAGCAGCCCACCAGACCAGCTTCTTTCTTTGGCTCAGATTCTCTAGAAACTCTACCTATCATCCCAACTTCCTAACAACAAAAAGGAATCAAATGACATGATTGCTCAGGTATGGCACACATATTTCAGCATTGCTTGCAGGTTCCTTTCTATAAAGTAGCTGTGGATGCTTGTTGAGACCCACAGTGACCTCTGGCTTGAGCTATCCTATAAGCTAGTGATTGAATAAGCCTGAAGAAGACGCAGATCATACCCAATTTATTACCCTTAGTCAATTGTCTTATTCTTGACCCTAGTAAGGCCAATCCTGATGCCTCCTGTTCACTAGTTTTCCTAGGTGGTATTTATTTAAGGTTGTTGATGTCCTAGGATCAGATAGTGTCAATAGCATTAGAACTGACCTTGGGCAAGAAGAGAGCTTGGGCCCATTTGCCACTGGTACCAACCTTTGCCTCCAGGGATGACTCAGAATCAAGATGGCACCAGTGGTGCCGTATGAAACTTGGACCAGACTATCTAGCCTTTTATGGACCTGGAGGTTGTCCATCATCAGAAGCATTCCACGGATATTGACTGTTCTTGACAGTCTCAGCTTTCCACATACAGACAAAGGATATCAGTGCTGTGATGATGGCATACGCAGACCCCATTGCAAATGAGCCAGCGAAGATTCCCAGGAAATTCCCCACAGACTGGAAGAATGCTGCGGCATCAAATGCATTTGGATTCTCCTTGGGACTGTAAATGGATATAGAACTGAAAAGAGAAGAGGGTGGAGGTTAGTTAGTGACTTTCATCTCACAGCCCAGATAGGATTTTGCACCCACTTTGGGGAGAGGTATCTTCTCCTGTAATGCTGGATGCTGGTTGGAAGAGTTAGGGAAAAACAGATACAGAAGGAGAGAGTTGGAGAATGCAGAAATCTTTCTACTTCCTCATAGCCCCATCCCATGGGATCCATATATTGCTGCCAGTCAGTAAACATTTTTATATTGGAAGGGCCATAAAGAATATTGTTTCTGAGCAAACTAGGCATTAAAACATGGTAGGTGTATAAGGAATCTGCTGAGAAGATAGATAACTGTGAATTATTTAGTGGCCATATGTCTCCAGTGCTGTTATATATTCACAAATGTTCCTGATAAAAAGTGCACTTTTATGGCCTGTGCACAAATGGGTGATACAAATCACTGCGTGCACAAAATATTCTGCCGTGATCTTGTCATAAACCACAAAGCATTCCTCCTCTCCAGTGTAACCCTTCAGAAACGGAGCATTGATGGTGTTCAGAACATCACGGTATTAACCCCCAGGGAGAGACAAAACCCTCATTTTCCCACCAAAACAAATGGCAGCAGCTGCCCGAGGTCATCTTTTATACCCCAATTCTGGTGGCTGCCAAAAGATTTATTTCCATAGAGAAAAATCAATCCACCAATAGCCAGTCTGTTCACTTAAATATTATTGAGGACGTCATATATGCTATTTTTTTTTAAACCAGGGCCTCAGATCCCAGAGTGTGAATATGAAAGATAAGGCATGTCCTATTTTAGGAAATATGAACTCCATATTGAGCATTAAAATGAACATATGTGCTAGATCCACTAGCTTTAGGGAGACTAATGAAATGACATTTCAGATTTTTTTTTTTTGCAGTTTTTAATACAGAATTTTAAAAAACTAATCAGGAAAAATCAAGAGTTTAGCAGTGGGTTTTGGAAGAAACTCCAAAAGCAGCAGTGTGGAGAGCAAAAGTACACTAGACACACTGACTGAGATTAGATTGGATTTTACACAGATGTAACTGAATCTTTCATGTTGCCGATGATTAGAGCATGTTAGCTTCCTGACCTGACTTTTTGTACCCAGAGATGACTTAAGAGAGAGCAAGGGGAACCAACTCCAATTCTTCTACAGGAAGATGCGTGGCATCAAAAAAGGTAGTTTTAAATGGTCTTAGTTTTTCCCTGGATGTCTTTAAACCCCCAAAGTAGGCCAAACACTTCTGCTTTGATCCTGTAATTGGATAAGGAAGATGAATGTGGATCTTGAATGAAGCCTTGAAATGCATGCGAGAAAAGGACTGCCTTTGAAGTGTTTTTCTTTTTTGTAAAGTGTTGTGCTTTGCAGGAAAAAAGGAAAAGTAAACCCACATCTGGGTCCTTTGTATCTGCGAGTCCTGGGAAAAGGTATAAAACTCCACTGGCTGTTAGGAAACCTGGTGTCCAAAGCTGTGATGCTTGATGTGTTTGAATCGACATTCTCCAACATATTTCTTCCTTCCAATGAAGAAACAATAGTGATGAGAAAGCATTCTATTTGCAGTCTGCCCTTCAAACAAACGTTTTTGCACAGTAGCACGGCTTTGGAAGTAATTCTATTAACCTGCGGTTGCCACTAGTAGATCTGACCCATAGAACAAGCACGGCTTTATCCTTCTCTCCACCTCCATAACTTGCAGAAGTGTTTCCCTAGCCCGGTGCTTCTGGAATTCGGAGCACCCCCATCACATCATTTGGTCATACCCCATACCATTATTTATGTATGTTTCTCTTTAAATCATTTTTATTCAAATTCAGGAGCTTTTATTAAAGAATATCTATGAAATCATAAGTTCGACGTGCTAATTATATTTCTTTTTATTATACGTAAAAGTAGGTAATTTAGAAAAAGAAAGTTCACCTGTATGTCACCTAAAATCATCTGGGTATGCCTACTGATCTGCAGTCTGCACTTTGGGAAATGTTCTTCTCTTCCTTCCCACTCAACAGGGTATGATCACTTTGTTCACCAAACTTTATACCCTCCCCGTGATGTTTGACTTAACTGAAGGCAAAGGCTTAACTCTCCTTGACCTATGGAGATTGTCCATTGAATATGCTGACCCTAAAGCTCCCCAGACATATGCACAAGGTGCCCGCCATGTGTCATGTGATGTATTAAGTAGATACAGGAAGTGGGAGGCAGGCAGGGAAGAGCAGAGAGAAGGTAAGCAGAATTTGATCCAATAAACACCTTATTGAACACCTGATATACGCACAGCATACCTCGGCAGGGAAGCCTGAGATACAGATGACAAATAGCTCTAGTCCCAGTGTTAAGTGTGATTTTGTGAGAAATACCCAACATTTAACGGTACAAAAGAGAAAAGGGGTACTCTTTTAGAATAAAGGAGGTGGCATTGGAGCAAGGTAGCACGTCAGCAGACAGAGATGGGGAGAGAGTATTCCAGGCAGTGGAAAGAGTGTTAAGAAAGGTAAGGAGGCAGGTGAGTTCAGGGCAATTGCAAGACATGGCTGCACCTATGTGGGCATGTGTGGTGGGGTAAAGATGGGTGAGGCAGCATTACTCAGAACCTTAAATTCCATGGTGGGAATATACTAAAGCCCTCACATTTAGATAGTATTTAGTCCTCTTGTGCCTACAGTATAGCTTTATTTGATCCTATAATAGCTCTGTGAAGTAGGCAAGGCATGTTTTGTTCTCTCTCCTTATCCATTTTCCTTCCTTCCTTCCTTCTTTCCTTCCTTCCTTCCTTCCTTCCTTCTTTCCTTCCTTCCTTCCTTCCTTCTTTCCTTCCTTCCTTCCTTCCTTCTTTCCTTCCCTCCCTCCCTTCCTTCCTTCCCTCCCTCCCTTCCTTCTTTCCCTCCTTTTGTCTTGCCTTCCTTTCTCTTTCTTTGCATAAAAGACATAAACTAAAAATCAGAGAAACGAAGATCACACAGCTACTAAATTCACAATGTAGATTTCTTGTTTCTCCCTTTAAAAAGGTGATCATTTTGTGGGGAAACATAAACCCACATTAGGATAGTTGAGTGACAGTGTGATGCTAACTATAAGGACAACAGGAGTTCAGGTACTAGAATATTTATTTTCATGCCGGGGATGGAACATGGGCAGCACCTTCCTGTACACAAGCCTAAGAGCAGAGTATGTTGACTAGGGAAACAGCACCCTCTCTCCTGGCCCACTAGCAGGTGAGACACAGAACTTCTCAGGAAATCCTGCTTTCCTGCCTGGCTTTGCTGAGACTGGACTTGGTCTTGCTTCTCTTTGGATGCCCAGGATACAGCCTGTTGTTGGGCACATGGCAGGGTATATAAAGGCTGATGGAATGAAGGTTCAGGACAACTGGAAAGGAGAAAGGAAGAAGGCTTGTAAAAACTCATTATCTCTTGAAGCAAATCATCGCCCACAAGATTTTTTAGCAAGCATTGACTATGCACAGTCACATTGTGGGTACTTTTATGGGTATCAGTCTAATCTTGAAACTGACACCTGTGCCTCTTAATTTGAGCCCAAGAACTGATACTTATTGGCTATATGGCCTTGGGCAAGTTACTTCATGTTCTGAATCAGTTACTTCATCTGTAGAATGGAGATAATAATAGTATTTATCCCTTAGAAATGTTGTGAGGATACGAGATACATTTAGAACTCTTAGATATATCTTGTGAATTATAGTCATTCCTTGAGTACTTATATGTACACTTAAAATAAATACTCAGTGAATGTTATTTATCCTCACCATCATCATCATCATTCTGCTGAGAACTTCCACAAGTCTCACAATAACAACAGAGTGGTCAGTTACAACTATGGGCAAATGGGGTGTGACTGCCCTCAGGGCACACCAAGCTCTGAGGTTGCTGGGGCTGAACTAGTCACTTTTGCATAAGAACAACAGGGTGTCCATGAAGGAAAGTACCAGGCAGGTATCCCAGAGAAATGGCCACAGGAGTGGGGCTAAAATGTTCTCATGTATTTCATGAAACTCTTGGCTCAGGGGATCAACGAGGGAAGGAGTGCCCTCAGCTGTGTGGGCAGGGGTCTGCTCCAGGGACAAGAATAGGCCAGGAGACTCAGCTTGAGTTGCATCTCTTCAAGTTTAGGGGAGGATGTTCTACAAGCAAAATCCTCTGGCTTCTAGTAAGAAATGAGGCAAAAGAAGCAGAAGCCAGGCTGGGTGAGGTGGCTCACGCCTGTAATCTCAGCATTTTGGGAGGCTGAGGTGGGTGGATTTGGATTGCTTGAGCGCTGGAGTGTGAGACCAGCCCAGGCAACATGGCAAAACCCCATCTCTAAAAAAAGTACAAAAATTAGCTGGGTGTGATGGTGTGTGCCCGTGGTCCCAGCTGCTCAGGAGGCTGAGTTTGAAGGGTTGCTTGAGCAGGGAAGGTTGAGGCTGTAGTGAACTGTGATTGGGCCACTGCACTCTAGCCTGGGTGACAGAGCAAGACCTTATCTCAAAATAAATAAATAAAAATACATATACATAAAAATTTAAAAATAAATAAATTGGAAATAAGTCCAGGATATTGATTCATTCTGATCAGCAATAGATTATTCAGCAAAATTAGTTTGATGGCAGTGTATTGGACCTATACTCAAAAATAAATGTGTACAGCATCTTTTATTCAAAAATTTTGAAATGTATGAAGTATCCTAAACTCTTTGATAAAAGCAACATGAATAAGGATCATTTTGCTTATTGTATCATTTCTCATTCACAGACATTATTCAGACTTCAGTGTTTCTCTACAGCGCATCTTTTCTTCTATATCATGCTCCTGCAAGGAACAGATCTCACAGCTTAGGTAGTGTTAAGAGCATAGAATCTGAATCTGAGTTCTGGGTGTAAGTCTCAGCTTACTGCCACTTACTGCCTATGTGACCTTGAGCAAGTTACTGAAACCACCTTTATCTCAGTTTCTATAAAATCATGATAGAATAATAGTACCTACTACACTGGGTTG